TATCATTTTAGCTAGACAATTTCTGCCTCCTGGTCTTGCCCTATTTCTTCCACTTCAGCCTTCTTCTTTGTTTAAGAAATATTCAAATGTTCATTTTCTATTAAGATGTTAGGAAATAGTTAGCAGATGTTCATGGACAGTAAAGCTTTGGTCTGTGATTGGTCTCCTGTGCAAATTTATCAAATTTTCATCAGGATGAAGTAATAATTCTAGCTTTCCAGAATTACCAGGGCCCCTCTTATTCAATTCATGATATTATTACTGCCCCTCAATGGTGGTTAGTCTTATGTTCTACTGAATGTTGAGCTTTTAAGTCAGCTGTGAATGTAAAAATCATTGCCTGTTGGGGTATTCTCCCCTCATTGTTCTTGCCATGGTCAGAAATAATCAGAATTCATGTCTCAAAGTGAATATAATTTAAAATTAAGTTGAATTTCAACTACTCAGAATAATTGGAAAAGGGCACAGCCTGGTGGGCCTCACAGCTTTTAGAGAGCTGGTAGGGGATGGTAAACAGGTTCTTCTGCCAGGAGACAAGTGGCAAACGCAGATGTGAAACTTTTACATATCCCACCAAGCCTTTCTTACGGAGCTCTGGGCACAAGGACAACTTCTGCAGAAGTGGAAGGGGGTACTTTGAACAAAAAATACATGCGACTTCCCGACCCACCTCCAGCTTAGTAGCCCATATTCCTCTGTCCCTTTCACACTGAGCCAGGCCTGACTTGAATGATGAAATGCATGGCCTTTCTGTCTTCCTAGCAAATGGGAGGTGCTGTTGGCAGTAATTAAGAAAATAAGAAGCTCCTTGTGAAACTGTTTTTGTGATGATAACAGTGAACTCAGGGAGCAGGTGTGGTGCCTTGTTCAGTCTGCATTTCACCTGCCTGAGCAAAAGCCGTGCAGACAAATAAAACACTTCCTGGTGGTGACCTCATGTCACTCCACAGCATCTCCACCCGAGCATCCGACCAGCTGTGACATTCTTACAGGCAATGTTCTGTCCATGCCTGCTTGCCTCCTGACCCTCAGGGGCAGCCAGTCCTTCTCCCTCAAGCTCCTATCATTCCCTCTTCCCATTCTCAGATTCTGTAATCAGCAAGGTGCATTTCTTGTGCCCTCTGTCTAAGTTATCTTTCTGTGCCTCATAGTTGCCCCTAGGTGGAGCTTCCTAAGGAGATACCTACCAGATGAATGAATGATGTAAAACTAAACGCCTACTTGTGATCATCAGCTCCTGCCCTAATCCATTGTTTATGCCATTGTCTCAAGTTCTCATATGACTATCTTCTCAGGCTAAATTCTGATTTTGCAAGTAGTGACTGTGTACCATTGTGTTGATAGAACAATAGAAGCCACCTTCCAAATTCAGAGAACAAACTGTGCATCTCATCCACAGGAAAAGTAAGTTTTTCCATGTGTTGCCTCAGCTAGAGAACTGAGAGAGGAGGTACTTTGTGGGAAGTGGTTAGTCCCATGTTTGGCTTTCAGATCGGAGCATGGACATGGTAAATGGCTTCTAGTTCTTGAAGAATGATGTCAAAAGAATGCATTTGGGAATGGAATAGCTGCAACTTGAGTTCATAACTTTTCTTTAGTTTCATTTTTGTGGTCACGTCCCTGTGTCCCTAAGGATGAAAACTGGAGATAACTGTTTACAAGCTCAAATGCTTGGATAAGGGTGAATTATAATGAAGAGATTTCTGCAACAGGAGAATTAGTATTCATGTTGAATCTGGTCAGATGTCACCTGTTTTTCCCTTGGGTGATTGCTTGAAAAAAAGCAAGGCACAATTGACTTAGTCATGCTGGTGAAAAGGAAGGAGTCTTTATTTTGCCTGAGTGGAGATGTTTCCACTGTTTTATCACTGAATGGATTAAATGAGTAGGTGTTGTCATGAACACCTGGAGAGACTGCCTCTCATGCAGGTGCCATAAACTTCTGCTTTCATGGGCAGAAAACTGTGTGATACCTGGAGGACAGAGGTCAGCTCAGCATTTTGCACCAATGTTATTATTAACGTGGGCAGTGCCAGGTGCTGTGGCAACCTAGGTGGCAAGTATAGTTCCAACCCACTTGGAGTTTTTTTACTGTTGTGGTTAAGTATAGACTTTAATTCATTTATTTGGAATCAGGTAGTTAGAGTAATAAGATTAGGTGAGTGTCAGATATACCAGAAGCAGGTAGTATTGATATTGGATGACTCTTCCCTCCTGTACCCTGGAAAAGTTTTCTATGGAATATCTCAGGAGGGTCCTGGGATTTTAAAAGTGTGTGTGTGTGTGTGTGTGTGTGTGTGTGTGTGTGTGTCTAAAGATCTAGGTATTTGGGGATAAAATACAGTGTAAAGTGTCCCTCTACTCTTGAGAATGTTAGCAACAAATTCATTCATGAAGCTAGGACCCCACTTGTTAAGTATAGACATTTATTTTGTGTACATGTGGAAATATATCTTAGCCTATATTGTATAAACACTAGTTTTGCTATTTTGGGATTATTTGATGTTTAAAAGCTTTCTATTTCATTGTTGAGAGAGATTCTAGAAACTTCCAAGTCTCTTATAATTTTAACATCATTTCTAGCTTCATGTTAAAAGGAAAAAAGTTTAGAGGAGACGCTTTCGGTTGTGAATTATGCCTTGATTATTCATGGCTTTTGTCAATAAGATATACCTTTGATAATTTGTTTTGTGTCACATAGTACCGTTAAATATGGTAAACTGTTCAAATTCTGAGGTAGTTTGTTTTTAACTTCTCTTTAAACTTGCTCATGTATTCATAGATGAAGTAGCCTGTTTTCTTTCACTCCACATTACATTCATAGTGAATCACCTGTTTATAAAGATTAGCAATCTTTATAGAGGAGTGGATGCACACAGGATGACTGTAATGTAAATCTGTTTGTATATTGACCAAACAAGCATATTTTATTTGGGGGTTTTATGTGGACATTTCTTTTTGAGATTTTTTTGAATCACATTTTTGAAATCCCTTTTCTACCCCTTTTTGATAGACTTTAAATAACTAATGTAATTATGAAGTTTTATTGTTCATGTTTTTATTTGTTTTAAATCTAAATTGTTGACTGTTTTGCCTGTTGCGGTAGTGTGTGTACCTTAGTATGTATGGTAGTGTACATTTCTTAGAAATTTTTTAGGTTTTACTTTAGGAAATAACATTTTCTAAATTTAAATGTATCAGCATATTTCACTGATATACCTAGTTAAGATATTCATTAGATAGCTATTTGCATTAATACACATTTCTTATTAGTATTATTTATACATAGAAACATTAATAAATATGTTGAAAAAGATCTTTATAAATGACGTAGATCAAATGCTAAACATGAAAAAATATAGCCATTTTTATAATAACCTGAATGTCAGTTTATTTGCGGAAAAAAGTTTGCTGACATTTTCAGGACGTAAATTTGTCATTTATAATTTCTTTTATTAACATCAGCAAGTTAATATATTTAATATTTCTGTATTGGAATGAAAGGAGACATTAATTTAAATCAACACTAAATACATTATACAGTATCTTTGAAAAAGACTATCTGATTTAATGATTATGAATTTAATAGGTTGAATGCATTTCTTGATAGATGACTTGATAATATCCAACCCACCTTCACAATTAAATATCAAGGATCTATTCTCATTAACAACAACTTCTTTAGGGCTGAGTAGACATGATCTTCATTAAACTCACAGATAATACTAGGGGATGCTGATTGCTGCAATGCGGAAAATAAAGTGATGCAGCCTGACCTTAAGAAATTACAAATATGGGACTGTTGACAAATGATAATCAGCAAACATCTAAGAGAAGATCAACTCCCAAGTCCGTATTGCTGAAAGAAATTGGGTTTGGTTTTGAAATGTATTATTTGAATATTTAGAAATGTTATCTCACTATACCTAACTTAGAAGTCTTGTGAAAATTTCTGTTTCAGGAACCTAGTATAACAGAGGCCTGTCCTGCATTAAGAAGGCCTTGCAATACACTCTTAATGGTGGTTGAGGGCAGCACAATGTAGGAGGATAGAGACACAGAGCCCTGAACCTTGTTAAAGGTGAATTAAATGAGGTAACTTGCTGGGTTTTATTACCCTTCTCTGACCACTGTATTGCTAATAGAGAGTGAAGTGCCAATCTGTTTTGAAGAAAGCAAATGAAAATAAGATAATATCCCCTTCACCATTTTGTATTTGTCTTATTCTTTGAGGTTTGTTGAAGTTACTTTGAAATCAAATTAGCCATTTTATAACTTCCTACTAGCAGAAACAGGAACAAATTGTTGCCTTGTGCCCATGTGTAGTAATTTATCTCAATGCTCTGGGTACTCAGGATAAAACCAGTAGCTAGCATGCTTGTGAAAGAGGACCATCACTATTATTTTAATACACTGGGATCTGATTTAATGATTCTAGACCATTTACCTTAATAAAGAATTTGTGAATGCCGTATACAAGATGAAAAATGAATGAGTGGTGAGATACATTTATCTTGGGCATCAGCTATTCTGTTGACAAAGGGCACAAATAAGAAATTTGTCTAAATAATTAGATTTTTAATTAGTGCATCATTGTAAGATTAATGTCATTGCGCTTCATTGCATGTAATTTTTTGTATTAGAAATTTTATGTCAACAAAGATGCTACCTGTGGTTTGCTGATTTGAATCCTTAATTTATCACTTGTGTGTATGGCATGTTGCATATTTGCAGTCAAGAGCTGGAAGAAGGCATTTGATTATTGCTCCACTGGTGGTGAGGAATATTGATGGTGTTGTGCTATATGAATACATTATATTTTCTAATTTTCAAGAGGCAGCCACCCCTCCAATATTAGTGAATGCATAATTGCAATAATCTTAACAATAACATGAGCAGATAGGTTGTGCAACCTGGTCCATGTCTACCTGGAACATGCTTGAACAACATTATTGATGCTGTATTCTTTTTAAACTTTGTTTTTTCTTTCCTTTTGATAGTTGCCGAACAAGTAACCGGAAAAGCTTGATAGGCAATGGGCAGTCACCAGCATTGCCTCGACCACACTCACCTCTCTCTGCTCATGCAGGTAATTGATTACCCTTTCTTGAGTTTTGTTGTATTTATTTGTTGGTTTTGAAAATAATTAATATATTTTGAGATTTGGTATGTCTTCACATGTTATCTTTGTTTTTCTGTTGTTTTATCCCTAAGTTGTTGTTTGTGATATGTTAACCCAAACCTTGTCCTCTCTGAGTGTTTGGACTCTGAAATACAGAATTCCTTTTTATATGGGGTCCCTTTTCAATTATTTCTGTCTCTATTTCTAAATGCCTGGATGATACAAGACATGGTTTCCATGTTAGGAATATCCTTGGGAAATGTAAACATGATAACTCGTGTGAAAAATATTAATGTTAAGAACTATTCAGCATATTTCTCCCTAAAATTGAACTTGTCTAATATATTATGGTAGTCATTTTGCGGACAATGAAAATTCAAGAGATGAGGCCTTTGGCCTCAAGTACTTTATCGAATTATAAGGAAGGTTAGAGTTGTAGTATAAAACTGGACAATGAAAACTGCTTTATATGATGTGTTTTTTTTTTCCTTTTTCAAAGCTCTAGCCACGGTGATGCAGAAAAGAGAAGGGTCAATTCCGAAGGGAAAGTCTAGAAGGGTTTAAAGGAGCCATTTGCCCAAGATGTTGAAAGATGAGCAAGACTTTGTTGACAGGTAGAGATGGAATAAGAGAAAGGGAATTCTCAGTGTATGGCTAGAGTGTGGGATGTGTGTGCTTCATTAAGAGAACATAAGGATGGAAAGGCAGAGGAAGGTCAGGAAGTGGGAGGAAGTTTGACTTTGAATGCCTTTGAGGGTTTTGAGGAGGATCTGTGTTACAGGAAGGTATCTTCAGGACTGTGAAGGATAAAGGCCAAAAGGATGAGCTCTTAGTCCTACTTCACTGTACTCTTGTGAAAACCCTAATTTGACACTCATGTGTTCTCAGATGATCTTCACTTCATATTTAAATACAGGGTAGTACTCTCACCCAGAAAGTAGTTCTTAAGCTCAAGGGGTCTTTTAAGTTGAGAATGGGAGTTGTCTGTTATATTGGGGAGAAGAAGAAGGGAGAAAGAAGTAGTTGCTCCTTTGGAGTGAAATTTTATTTTCTTCATAGAAATAATTGAAGGTAGTAAATTAAAAAGATAAAAGATAAATAGATAAAATTATGACAATGTAAAATGACCACTAACATCTAGAAAGGCCTCTTCCAGGTAAAACGTTAGAGAAGCTCTTAACAGATGAAGATGAGTTCTAGACCACTCACAGCAGCGTCATTTGTAATAGCTAAACATTTGAAGTAACCTAAGTATTTATCAGTTGGAAAATGGTTAAGTGATTTGTGACATAGTTATATCCAAAACACTTGTGTACATAGGAAACAAGTGAACACTGCTCAGATTTGCGTGGATGAAACTAAAATATATTATTGGACAACAAAGGCAAGTCACTAAAAAACATTATGTAAGCCTTTCATATAAAGTTAACATGCTACATACAATATTTTATTTAGGGATATATATGTATAATATATATATTATATATCCTAAAATATAATATTTATGTAATATATAAATATATATATTATACAGTCACTATATTATATTTTAGGTATTTTTATAATATAAGAGCCTAAAGGAAAACATGATAATGTTAAATACCAATTTCATGATAGTAGTTACCTCTGAGAGGGCATGAGAAGGATATAATTAGGGAAGAGGTGTAAGCAGTGGTAACATTATATTTCCAAAGCTATGTGATGAGGATATGTTACTTCTATTACTACCATTTCTGTTTTTGAGACTAATATTACGCTACTGTCATTAAAACCCTACAGGCGGTCAAACAAGGCCAAATACTTTAATTGGGACATTACTCCAGCACCCAGCACAGTGCCCAGCAGTGTATGCTAGATGCTAGGTGAATGATGGATTCTGTTTTTTAGTATATAACTTAGTGATGTAAAGATTTAAATCTTGTCCTCTTTGTAGTATTTATAGCAATTTCATCATTCTTTATGTGCTTGTTGATTAGTCTTTTATAGCTGTGATTTTCTTCACTTCTAATATTTAGGAGACAGAACATGTGGTTAAGACTTGAATGATCATTTTAATTATTTTCTTTTCTTTCATAGATTTAGCTTAAGTTCTCTCTCCTTCACCATTAATTTAGAATTTAATCAGAGGAGTGGGCACAGGGAAGCCTTTCAGGTTCTAAGAGTGGGTTTTTTTTTGAGATGGAGTCTCCCTCTTTTGCCCAGGCTGGAGTGCAGTGGCGTAATCTCAGCTAACTAGAATCTCTGCCTCCCAGGTTCAAGCTATTCTCGTGCCTCAGCCTCTTGAGTAGCTGGGATTATAGGCACGCGCGATGATGTCTGGCTGATTTTTATTTTTTTATTTTTAGTAGAGATAAGGTTTTGCCATGTTGGCCAGGTTGGTCATGAACTCCTGGGCTCAAGCAGTGCTCTCGCCTTAGCCACCCAAGGTGCTAGGATTACAGGCATGAGCCACCACACCGAGCATTGCTTTTCTTTATGTTACAGAGCCAACAGGGTATTGTTCTCTCAGAGGCAGTAGAAGCCTGCCAGACATTCTGTGAGTGTAGATTCCTATTTCTTTATAAAAAGAAGAAGAACATGTGAATACAATACAGGACCAGGCCTCACATCTTGATAACATGCAGTGCCTCTTCACCGGCCACACCTTTTGCCTCACCCTTTCTGTTACTATGCTCTCTATCTTGCCTTGGACACACAGTGCCAGGCGAGGCTTTCTGGACATCTCCATCCAAAAAAGAGAAGGAAAAACCTTTATCTCTCAGCACTTACTAACCTAAAAAATACAGTTTAACTTTCTCTTTTTCTTAGGTAGGGATTACATCAGCCAGTCCACTCATCACTGACACCTTGTTTGTACCCATCAAAAGCATTGGTAGAGATAGGGACATTAATTTGTGTACAGGTATCAGCAGTGCTCTGGGTAGAAAGAGATATTGGCATATGCAGTGCTCTGGAGCATGTCTTCACAAAACAGTGTTTGTGGGGAGCCATGGATTCCTAAAAGAACAGTGAATAGGACAATCTCATTTAAAAAAAAAAAAAAAGAAGAAGAATGCATAGAAAATCAGAGGTTTTTAGGTCTGGGAAGATTCTGAGCATGAAAAATAATCCAGAAGTCCCAAAGGGAAAAGACTAGTGTGTCTCACCTAAAATGAAAATTTCTGTGTCATAAACAAACTCAAAAGAAATCAAAGTATGAAAAATGTTTGTGCCCATAACTGATTGCTAGTTTACATGAAGAAATTGTGTAAATTGATATGAAATGGTGAATGCACCAATAGAAAAAATGGGCAAAAGGTGCAAATCTCATGACATAGGGAAAAAATAGTCAACAAAACATGAAATGATACTTCATTGCAATTATTAAAAAAATGGCCAGGCACAGTCACACCTGTGATTGCAGCACTGTGGGAGACTGAGGCAGGAGGATTGCATGAGCCCAGGAATTTGAACCTAGACAACACAGTGAGACCTCATCTCTACAAAATTTCTAAAAATTACTAGGGCATGGTGGCACCTGCCTGTGGTCCCAGCTACTCGGGAGGCTGAGGTGGGTGGTTCGCCTCAGCTGGAGAGATCAAGGCTGCAGTGAGCTATAATGGTACCACTGAACTCCAGCCTGGGTGAAAGAGATAGTATCATTCACCTAGCATGGTGTCAGAAACCTTTGTTAATTGATAAAGTTCAGTGATAGCAAAGATGTGGGAAAGTGGTCCCTTTCCCATGATCTAAAGGTTGATGTGAAGTAGTGTAACCATTTCATTAGTGGTTTTCAGTATTGGTGAATATTTCAAATGCGTTTACCCTTTTGCCCAGCAAATACATGTAAAGGAATTTATCTTACTGATATTCTCAGCGAATAACAGAAAATTATAAGTATAGCATAGCTTGTACCTAGCAAATGGAATAGTACCAGCTTTTTGTGTAAATTGCTCATCAGTAATGGACTAGTTAAGTAAATAATGATTCAGGGGTATAACCCAGCACTAAATAGTTGTTACAGAGAACAAGGTGGGCTTTTCTGTGCTGGTATTGTAAAGATACACAAGATACATTGTTCGGTGAAAACACTGCATGTTGTCATTTCATGTACATGTGTGTTTTAGAGTGTGTATACACAGATGAAAGCACACTTGTATACTCATGCGTAGTCATAGAAATTTGCGGAAAAAGAAAGGAGGAACCATTAAGTGCTTAGGGAATAAGAAAGTAGGGAAATTAGCACATAGTGCCTTTCTAATACTAAGAAACCTCTGAAAATAAAACCCAAGGCCAAGTGCAGTGGCTTACCTGTAATCCCTGCACTTTGGGAGGCCAAGGCAGGCGGATAACAGGGTTGAGAGATTGAGACCACCCTGGCCAACATGGTGAAACCCCATCTCTACTAAAAATACAAAAATCAGTTGGACTTGGTGGCGTGTGCCTGTAGTCCCAGCTACTCAGAAGGCTGAGGCAGGAGAATTGCTTGAACCCAGGAGGCGGAGGTTGCCGTGAGCCAACATTGCGCCACTGCACTCCAGCCTGGTGACAGAGCAAGACTGTCTCAAAAAAACAAACAAACAAACAAACAGAAAAACAATATGATATCTGCAGTAGTTTTCTATTGCTGAGTAAGAATTACCCATAATTTACTGGTTTAATCAACATGCATTTATTAATCTTACTTTTTCTGCCCAGGAAGAAGTCTGGGCAGGCTTACCTGGGTTCTCTGCTCAGGGTGCTGTACGGCCAAAATCAAGGTGTTGGTTGAGCTGGGCTCTTATCTGGAGGCTGGGAAAAAAACTCACTTCCAAGCCCATGCAGGTGTGGACAGATTAGATCATCGCCTTTGTAGGACCAGGTTCCCCACCTCATCCTGGCTATCAGCAAGGGGCTGCTTTTCAGCTCCTAGAGGCTGCCCTCTGCGATCTTGTAGCCAGCAGGGCACATCCAGTCATGCTCACATTTCAAATCTGACTGCTCCTTTT